CCCCCCACATACACACACACAAACCTCGTTGTTGTTAGTATCATCCCTTTCTTTTCCAAAGTCAGTTGATGCAAACAAAAGAAATACAAACAAAAAATGAAACGTCGACAATAGAACATAGGTTAAAATACTTTTTTTAAAAACAGAACAGAACGTAGTTTTAAGGGTCTTTTTACCTTCTTTCCTTTCTGTAAGATTGAGTTTATAGTAGCTAGTTTCCTTGCTTTAGGCAGATTTCCCCCATTCCGTGTTCTGTTATAGAGCTGAAGAAGTAGCAATTTGGCTTTTTCACCAAGGTTTTGTAGCATCTCATTGTGTACTTTGTCAGGACCTGGGCTTTTTGGCTTCTTTAGTTTCTTGATTGCACAGTCCAACACTCGATTAGTTAAGAAGTCCTGGAAGATACTCGGTATCATCAAGTCTCTCTCTTTTTCTTTAAGAACGTTCAGTAGACCCCTGTCCGGTCCAGATAATTCTTTTTGCTGCTTTTGTTAATTGAGGCAAAATGTTTATTGAAGTGTTCGGCTTTTTTTTTTTAACTCGCTGGTGACAATTTGGTTTCTGTGTCTAGTGGTTTGGGAGTTTTCTTTCCTTTCTTCGCCCGTGAGGTTATTTAGAAATGACGAAGCTTCACGTTCACCTTGACGTAAATTGAGTCCCTTACACTTCTGTGTCCAGGCTTTCTTCTTAGATTCCTTGGCAACAAGTTTAGCCATTGCTATAGTCTTTTTTTATTTAATTTTCTTGTCCATATTTTTAGATCTTTATCATATTCATGTCTGGCTTCATTTTTAGTTTTTGTAGCTTTCCCCAAGCGCTCATTCCAAAAGGGTTTATAGTTGGTTCTACACCCCTGTGGGATACTCTTCTTTGCAGCATCTGAGATGGCGGAGGTGAGTTCACCATTAAGGGCGCCTATACTTTTATTGTCTAGATCATCCAGTATAACGGTGTCCTCAGCTGTTTTTCTGAAGAGATCCCAGTTTGCCTTCTTGAAGTTCCAACGGGTTCTTCTTTTCCTTTGTCTCCGTTTCAATATACTGATTTGGGTGAGAACGGGACGATGGTCACTAGATATACATTCTGGCACCTCTTCACTGCAGTAGTTGAGTAGATCAGCAGAGACCAGGGTGAGATCTGGTCTGTGGAGGGTCCCATGTCTCCTATGAAGAAGTGTTTTAGTTGATCCTCATCTTGGAGAAGGATAAGGTTAGAGGATTGACATAGTTCTTCAATCCTCCGACCTGTGTTGTTTTGGTCAGCATAGCCCCAAAGGGGGGAGTGTCCATTAAGGTCACCAGCTATGACCGTCTTCTTAAAGATAACACTCTGTTCCATGAAGTTCAGAGTGTTACTTGGGGGATAATAGATGTTATAAAGCATGAGCTTGCTGTTGCCATACCACAGGGTGGCTTTATGTGCGTCTGTGGGGTGCCAATTAAGGAGCTCTACTTCACCCTAGATGTCATTTCTGATATAGGTTATAATCACAGGGGCAACCTTCACATTTGCATGGGTATGGGGTATACCCAGGGATGTGTATGTCACAGGATGAATGGAGAGTTTCCTGTAATAGAGCAATGTGGATTTTCCTTTCATACAAAATTTTCCCCAATTGAGATTGTTTTATCTTTTCCAAGCCACAGACATTTCCTTTAAGAATATTGAAATCTATATGCTTCTCTTTTCCATTACCAGTTTGTATGGTGCGTTTTCTTCTTGTTTTTCCATTTTCTCTGTTTTCTGATTTCCTTTTTCTTCCAAAAACCATCCACCAGGCCAGCTTGGTTGCTCACTAAGACCTGGGGGAGACCTTGATTACCAAGACGGCGTCTCAGCTCGTATGAGATTCTGTCATTTGTTAATAGCATCTGAAACTGGTGGTTTTGTGATTTTCCTTTAATCCCGGTGTAGTAGATAAAGCAATGGCTGTAGGTGCAATGCCACAAACAAAAACCCAACTCCATCACAGAGAGTTTGTAAGAAAAATGAATGGGTATGTTGGTGTCTATTGTATTATATTGAGAAGTTGTTTGATGAGATAAAGAAGAGAAAGACGCTATTAAGAACATAGTTGCCGTGTGTTGCTGAAACACAAAAAAAATATTATAATAATAATAATAATAATAATAATAATAATAATAATAATAATAATAATAATAATAATAATAATAATAACAATAACAATAACGATAATGATAATGATGATAATAGTTATAATAATAATAATAATAATAATAATAATAATAATAATAATAATAATAATAATAATAATAATAATAATATCAACAACAATAATTGAATGTTGGGGTTTCCTCCCCCCCCCCCCTCCCAGAGCAACCAAGTCCTCTCATCCCCAGAGATGGAGGCAGGGGAAGGCATAGCAGGTTCCCAAAGGGTTAATGTTGTCAACAAGCAAGACGCCAATGGTCTCTGCATCTTCTCCGCAGTCATTGGGCTCTCCGATAAATGCATGCTTAATACATGTATGTAGCTGGGTATTTCCTATGTAAAGTCACATCAAGTACAGTGCTGACAGTGAACCTCTGCTTCCCACCACACACATACCCATCCCAACTTCAGGTCATAGACAGGTTGTCAATGAAGAGAGGAGAAAAGAAAAGTGATGAGGATGATGATAATAATAATAATAATAATAATAATAATAATAATAATAATAATAATAATAATAATAATAATAATAATAATAATAACAATTATAATAATAATAATAATAATAATAAAATGAAATAAAATAAAACAGTAAAGCATAAATAGGAAGAGTAAGATATAAATAGTGAAGTAACATGTGTCTCTTTTCGGGGTCACCCCTTGACCTGTTAGCTTCCTCTTTTTCTTTTCCTATTCGAAAAGTACTAACCCCCCCCCCCCCCAAAAAAAAAAACCACGTAGAGATGGGTCTATTTGTGTGTGTGTGGGGGGGGGGGGATATACACCAATTAAATGTACAAATACTTAAGTTCCGTTCTGGTTGTAAGGAAAAGCAAAGTATGTTTCTGTTGTTTGAAGAATCGTCATGGTTATTTATCCACTTACTTTGCGGAGGTAACAGTTAAAAAGGAGGGCTCACAGTTGAAATATATTTGAAAAGGGAAGTTACACGATAACACTCGACTTCAAACTAGAAAGGTTCCATGTACTTTTTTACTACTGACTTGGTAACTTGTCCTTAATAAAGCAGGTGATTGGTGGATGTTATGGTGTAACCTGTTATTATTATTATTACTTTCTAGTGTTTGTATAATCTTAGCGAGTTCCTGACAAATTATAACCGTTATCGCGCTGACTCATCATAAATTATATAGCGTGGGGTGGGACGGGGGTGGGGGCGGGCACGGGTGAAGCACGTTTTCGTATTACAACATAATCCTCTATATCGGGAGAAGTAAAACATTGATATACTCCAAAGAAACGACGTCTCACTTACAACATATTTCCACAGTGCATTTTAAGATCTTAACATAGCCAGAAGAACAAAGCTGCAATACAATGTGTGCTCTGACTATCACATAAAGTTCAGTTAAATATTTTACCTCAAGATTCAACATTTTATTTCCGTAGCGTCCCGAATGTTGGTTGAACATCCATCAGATATAAATCTATACTTCAAATCCCTGCCCTCCACCCCCACCCCAAAAAGCCTTTTTTTTAAGCGACTTTTTGTAATGGTTGGTTATTAACTACGAGATTTTTGGGTAAATTGTACAACCTTCCTTTACTTACCTCTTGCCACCGGTGTTCTTTTGACTGCTTATTGTCTTTCACGCAAATGGACATTAGTTCTTCTAACGAAGGGATGTTATTTGATCGACAATCAACGTCTTTATGCTGTCACGTAGTATCCCACCCGTCCGATGTTGCCTTGACTAACAAGCTGAAGGTAGCCGGCCATCTAAATCATCTCGGTTGAATCGACGGGTGCGTAAAACACTGTCAATCGTATCTGATTTGTGTCCCCAGCATCACAGCAACTGCAGCATCTGTGGGAGCGGCTGGCGTGCCTCAGGCTGGTCTGGTTACCATGGTGATAGTTCTGGCCGCTGTGGGTCTCCCCGTGGATGACGTCACATTGATCCTCGTCGTCGATTGGTTCTTGTGAGTTGCCGTTTTCTCTTTTATTCTTTAGCCATGGTGTCAGAAACAGTAGTCTCCGTATTCAAACAGGGCATAAAACTGTCTCAAAAACTTAGGCTCAAGAACTCCTTCTCTAACTAGTGCATGTGTACAAAAATATAATAATGAATTATAAGTATTCCTTTTCCTAAAGGTTATTTTTTATGTCAGAAGCATTCACGCATTTCGGCACATGAGTGCGTCAAAGGACCAAGAAACAGTACAGTCAATCTAGACGGTGGTTTTTTGTTGTTGAGTGGGGGGGGGGGTGTTGTTGTTTTTTTGTGGTTGTTGTTTTTTTGTGTTGTTGTTTTTTTGGCTACTCAAATTATACAACAGCTTTTTTTAGCCTGTATAGTTTCAGCTTATTCGGGTTCTGAGAAGTCTATGGAAGTAACATGGAAGAAGTAATGGTATAAAACGATATCAGTTTCTTGGTACAAGAGACGCAGAAAACTAAAATTGCATTTATTGCAGTGAAACAAACGCAAGAATACGTGGTAGCTATCCGGAAACCCCAATCTCGACTGGGAGTTCATCATGATAGCATACTGCGGGCGAAATGTAGTTGACCAACATCATAACTATAGATCTTACATAAATAGTAGAGGATGAAACATGTCTGTCTTATTTGAAGCCAGCCTACATAAGTACACTTTCAAGAATCCGTGATGTCCATGATAAAGTAAAGTAAGACGTCAGAAACACAGTATTATGTTGTTTTTTTAAGTGGGCGTCTCCGTTCACTGACCTGTTCGTGTATAGAGCTTAATGGAACAAAGGGACAGTTTTAGTAACTTACTGTGTAAAGTCAAACGACTTTTCCTTCTTCTTTTCACGACTTACCAGAAAATACCACTTCTATGTATAGGTCTGATTGTGCTCTCACACCTACCAGAAGCATTGGCAGAAAAATGTAAGTTTCCAAAACAAATCAGGAATAACATGAAAAAGGTCTAAAGTGATGCAACAAAAAGAACAATTAAGCAATTTTTAAAAAAGAAACCAAATCTATAAGTGATGATGTATTGGAATAAGCCTACCAAAACAATTAATGCCCACAAATCAGCCGGGTTAAAAAAAATACTTTAAACTAAAGAGAAGGGCCAAAATACGGGCTGAAACAAGATTCGAAAGAAAGAACAATGACCATGTTTACTATGAGTTTGATTAAATATTTCCTAAACTAGTCATTCTGTAAGTACAAGCGTTAGACTCTTATAATAATGATATTATTCTAGTGAATTCGATTTGTATTAGTTTGTATTACGGAACCAGCCGGACGTGAAGAGGGTACATCGTATTCCAGACAAGTAGTGGACTCACCGAAAGGTAATTACATCATAAACGTCTATATAAAAGAATAGTATATCTATATTTAGCATTCGATCCCTCTCAAACAAAAACCTAAAACTGGAAAACGAAAACGTCCTGAAACAGTACAGTTGCTGATTGTGGTACACCCTGAACTCTGTGCTTTGAAGGCACTTCTAGGTAAAAGCAAGTCGGTGTAAAGAGTTTCAGGAGATGAAGCCAGCCATTATGCGGAATTGTTTCTATTGATTTAACCCCCTCATGTTTTGGAGAAGATCACAGCGCAACTCTATTGGCCCCTCTCCCCCCATCCATACTGTGAGTACCAGAGATCAATAGAACCTACGAGACAATACCTAGGTTCTTTTCCTATTTCACGTCGTCATGCAGTGGTTAGAGGCTGTCTTGTACTGGTACAGAAAAAATCTTGGCAAAGTGGAATACAGTCCTTTGTCTTTTTGTGCGTGTTTTTTTTTGTTTGTTTTTTCTTGCTTTTGGTCTTAATTACTTGGTTTCCTGTTTTGTTTCTAAACAGTTTCTATGCGTTATTTTTCTGTGTATTTATGCGTTTGCTTGTCTTCCCTCATGTGGGGACAGGAAGTTCTGAGGATTCTCTTCGTCTGTATGTCTGTCTGTCTGTCTGTCTGTCTGTCTGTCTGTCTGTCTCTCTCTCTCTCTTTCTTTCTTTCTTTCTCTCTCTCTCTTTCTTTCTTTCTTTCTCTCTCTCTCTCTCTCTCTCTCTCTCTCTCTCTCTCTCTCTCTCTCTCTCTCTCTCTCTCTCTCTCTCTCTCTCTCTCTCTCTCTCCCTGCAATATTTTTCTTTTCTAAATAAACAAGTTCCGGACGTCGACTTATACTTGAAACGTAGGCTTGCTGTGGTCTTTGAAGTAAAAACCCTCAGTTTAATACAACCTGGGGCTAACGAGACAATTCATACTTCTCAAACGCTCTCAGTGCGTGTGAACGAGAGATCCTCACGTATAGACTTGAACAGTCTGCAGCCTTTTGCTTTTCTTTAAAATGTCCGAAATGGAACTGGAATTGCAGACTGAAAGGTGGCATTAGGCAACAGGTATGCTACTCACGGAAAAACCATTGAGCATTTGGCTGTGTTGGAAAGAACAGAGAAATCATATTTGAAAGTGATATTCATTTCTTTTTATGAAGTCTGCTCCTTTAAGAAACATCAGACTTAAAAACTTACTCCCGCAATTAAACTCTTTGATTGAACCAAGAAATAGAAGTAAGATCTTTGTTTGGGCTTTATTTTAGTCGCTACAAATTTGGCTCTTCTGAGTAAGTGTCATCTTTATTTTAACGTATCAGTTTCCTGTTTCTCGCACTTGCTTACGTTTGGGAGTCCTGAGTTGTGTAAAAATGTAATGGAATCTCAGTTTTTTTCCCAGACTACCCCCATGAGGGGGAGGGGTGTGGGCGTGTTCACACCCTGTAAACCTTGTATATATTTTAGCTGTCTGACTGGCATACACCCAATCACATTTTCACACTCCACCCCCCACCCCAAATCTGCCCCTTTTCACCCACAGGGATCGGTTCCGCACAATGACCAACGTGATGGGTGACAGCCTGGGAGCAGGTATCGTCAACCACTACTCCGCGGACGAGATGCCTCCCTTGGACCATGAGATGCACGACCCAGACGGCGCGGAGAAGGTGCCCAACGGTCAGCAAGACACGACCCCAGTGTAACCACAAACAACAGATGGAGACGCCAAGTCCCGCGCTCTGTACTAACTAATGGCCATACCAACTATTGTCTCCCATTGGCATTACGTGGGTTGACAGTATTCATAATTTTGAATACCCGGATGTTATATGTCAACCCTTCGGTGTAACGTCGAATTGCAGCAGAAGGAGTGTGGGGTTGAGTTTGCTTGGACAACACACAAACAGACTGGGACTACAACTGTAGAGGCAGAGCTGAATTCAACTTTTCTTCTTTAGCACGGGTGAAGTTTATTTCTACTACTTAGATTAAAGAAACGAGGAAAAATAAACTGATCAAATTATGTTGGCCACGCGTTATGTATCTTAAAAGTTGAGGCATGTTTCTCACCCTATAGTTTATCTTGTAGTTACTGCATAGATAAAACGAAAAGTAGATTTTGAATGGGACTGGTGATTTACAAATAAACACAGAAAATGGCCGGTCTAAAAAAACAGGAGGATTAATTAATTGATTGTTTACTTTACGAAATTAACTCATAAGCAGATATTGACGTTACAATATCTTGTTGCTGACGTCGAGAATCTAAAGGTATAGTTTAAAAACTCTATTCTAGACCACCAACAACTTGTACAGCTTCGTTTGGACTGGGAAATTGGCAGCGGCGTGGTGGTGTTTGCACTGTGTCTGTTCAAGTATCATTTATACATCTCAGAAGTATGGCATCCCCATTGGTTTGGTATTCTAAGAAAAAACATGTTTAAATCAGCACCGTCTACTAATGAACACTTTGATTGGGTTGTAATGAGGGCACTGTTTAATGTTTTATTTTTTTAAATTCTGAGAGCAAAATAATCCGAACTCGATGTTATAGTACGAGATTCGAAGAAATATTGGGTTTTTTTAATGAATTGAAAGTGATTTTTGCATTTCCAATTGTGTTACTCGGAAAAGAAGGTTTCCATTGCTTATTTTTCTCCATTCAGAAATGAATAGGAAGTTAAAAAGAACTGATGACAGGAAGTCAACCTGCTCCAGGCTGACAATCACATTTGTACGTGACATAAAATGTGCCTGGCGTGGGTGTCTTGCCATTCCTATTTTTTGCCTGTCCATAACAATTACTTTGACATTTCTGAAAATCGCATGATTGAGGGAAACTCCAGAAGGCGGATTCCGATTTCTCGCTGTTTTTGCATGGACATTGAGCATCGGAAAGGTGAGAGGGCAGAGGTTAGTTGTCTCAACTAGTTTTTCAACAATTTGCGGAAATGACATTTCCGATGATCCAATTTCTGGGCAAAATTAAAGGATCAAATGTCGGATCGTTCGTGTGGTCTTTTGCCACGTGGGTAGAGAGTGCATTCTTTTGCAAGTTTCTGTATGTGCATATGAGTGTATGTGTGTATGCTTGTATGTGTGCGAGTGTGTATGTGTGTGTATGTGTGTGTGAATGTGTGTGAGTGTATGTTTGTAGAGGTGCGTATATGAAATAGAAAGAACGAGCATGCGTAAGTGAGAGATAGATAGTGCTCTTAAGCGTATGTATGTGTGCTTGTGTGTGTATGAGAGTATTTGTGTCTGCATTTGTTAATGTCGTTGCAGTCATATCTTTATCCTTGAGGTTACTGGCCTCTTGATTTATTTGACTTTCTTTCTTTCGGTGTATCTACCCTTTACCTTCTCCTTATACGATGTCTCCGTTTTCTTTTCTTTTCGGTATTATCATCATATTAGGCATATTTATATGATATTCTCTCCATATTCCTGCACATAACCATCACTCCTAACGTATCGATTTTAGACCATTCTGTCTGATAAACTTGTTGGTAGCAACGTATGTTCTTACATCGGCTTTCCATGCTCCACGTATTGGCTTATAGCATATGGTCTATGTCAACGAAGCGCGTAAGATACTTATAAAATTCCGAGTAAACTAAGGTGATGTATTTTAATCTACTTACAGAGTGAACTGATTTCATTTTTAAAAATGTACCAAGCATACACTTTATATTAAGAAATTCCAGCTGCCGTCGGTTTGTTTTAATTGTCCTCTTCGCAATTATTCCAAAGCTTCATTTCCATCTTATACCGTCATTAACTACCCTGTTTCCTCCTCCCTCCTGATCGACCGGTCGTACTGCCTGCTTTTTGTCAGCAATGTCTCGGTAAATGAGATTGAGAGGATTCCAGTGTAGATTGATTTATATCACGCTCTACTGTATGAATATAATCTCATTCTATTCATATACTTTTTACAAACAAATTCGTAGACGTAGTTTTATTTGTGTCAATGCTCTGTCTTTTCTAACATTTTCACGGTCCACATATTATGCTGTGTCCATTATTACCCTGCACTTTGATGAAATCTTAAAAAGTTAACATGATATTTGAGAAAAGGAATACATTTAATTTCCTGAGAATGAAAGAGAGGGGGAAAAGAGAAAAAATGGAGGAAGAGGCAGAAAGGCGTGGGGGGGGGGGGGAGGGGAGAGAGAGAGAGAGAGAGAGAGAGAGACAGACAGACAGGCAGAAGGGGGGGGGGGGGGGGGGGTGGATGAAAGAAGAAACGTCATTTTCTTATCATCTTGGCATCAGTAATTCTAGGTGACAAACAAGGTAGGAATTTCCTTCCTCCTTTCGCAATACATCTTCCTCTTCACTATTAATAGCAGCCGCGGCATCTGTAACCAAAGCGACCACGTCCTCGACAACATAACCGCCGTTGTCGTTGTCGTCTTCCCAATCATGGACGCCTCTATCTTTTCTTACGACAATGTTAATACATTTCAAGGACCTTTTCATTGCCATCATAATTTTCTTTTTTACAACCTCAAAATCGAGAGCTTGTGCTTGTTCTTCGACTCTGAAGCTTTAGAGCGTCGTCTCCGCTTCTCGTTCTCTTCAGATATCCATTTAAATGATACTATATGAACCTACTTTAGGTTCTAATCCAAAAAAGAAGCCCACCCCATATATCTTTGTGTCATTCTTCCCAATTAAAAACAGATATCTCGAAAGTTGGCCTGTTGTCGACGGACTTAGTGTTGCGATGGCCAACGAATCAGACAGACTTTTGGAATTGCGAGTCAGATACCAGAAGTCACGTGCCCCAAAATTTGCTCTCATCTGATAACAATAAAGACTACCAAGACTCTGTTCTCCGGGCTGCTCTTGAGATTGTTGAGGAATGAAACCAGAGCCTATCAAGGAGTGATTCCACACTTGACTTGACCTGATCTTACCTGCTCCATGTGTTAAATTAGAGAACACTAAAAGATAATTATGTATTTGGGAACAAAAGAACAACTCTGATAAACACAGTTGAGGAGGGGGCTGAATGGATTGGGGGGAGAGAGAAGATCAGTGAGATGTGTCAAAGGTTTAGACAACTCAGGTCAAAATGTTACCCTGAACAAAAAGTCCTGTTATGGAATGTACAGTAAAAAAATGGTTTCTGTATGAAAAGAGGGTTAACGAAAATTATCAGAGTTTTACATGGTTCGGCTTTGCTTTCTCGGAGAACTATAGTCCATTCATTTTGTGAGAGTCTTTTGTCATCCGTTAACCACATACTATATTTGATACTCCTCAGCCCAACGATCTGTAGTAAAAGCAGAAATATGAGTATGTACTGTGTTACTTGTTGCAGTTTTCTTGTTGCCATACTGGACCAACACACGAAGGTTGTGATTTATTGTGATTGAAGTGAACCCAGTTATTTATATTAAAGTTAGTATATATTTTTAAAAGTATATTTAACTCTTTTGTATAATGCACTGAAGATTTTATACCTCAAAAAATTAGTTCATACAATACGGTTGTGATAAGAGTATAATTTTCATAGATATTACAATAATTGTACGTCAGGAGGACGAACATGGTTTTTAAATGTACAAAAGTTATATTTCTTCATTGTGTCATCTCTTACATTGCTGAGAACGACAGTAAAATGTTTGAGCTTTGCTTTACATTTTCTTTAAAGTACAAAATGACATTACGTTCTCCTAATTTGGGTTAGACAAGTCATTATTCCAGTTGTTTCAGCAATGATTTTCTATGGGTGACACAATACAGAACGAGATTTGCTAGGAATTACCTGCGTATACTTAATGTGAGATTAAGCCCGTTCCATTGATATACTTGTTTACAACAAATTTGTAAATGTAGTTTTATTTTGTGTCGATGTTCTGTTTTCTTTCTACCCGTTTTACGGTCCACATAATCTGGCTTGTCCATTACTACGTCCGATGTTTGTACACAGCGATAAACACAATAATGTCTGTAATATTCTTGTGTCCTTGGATAACAGTAAATTGCACATGTACCGATATTTTGCTCCCTTCCTGTCCAACTGAAATTTTTAAATGAACGTGTATAATTTGCTGTAAACGATATTCCGCTGTGCTATATGTGGTAAGCTCAATGAGTTTGGAAATAGTGAATTTTTTTCGACTGATACTGAAGTACTGCATTTGCTTGATTTTTTTATTCGGGGGGGGGGGGAGAGGGCAGTTTGTTTTTTTCTTCCCTGTTCGGCTCACTCTTACGTCAAAGAAATTCATCCTAAGACCACTCATTTACTAAACAGCAAATAACGCAGATAATTCATGAAAACTGATTTATGGACCTCGAAATTTGTACTGAAAAGGTAAATATGAACGCACATGTTGATAGCCGATCATAGGAATATTCTGAAGAGTATTACACAACCCGTGTTCTTCTGAAAGAATAAAGTAGCAGCATAAACGTTGGCCTCTTGATTCATGGGCAGTTGGTAATGGTTATAAGTATGGTGCTTACATTGCTCCCAGATGGTACATCCGCAGAGGTTCATACTTACAAACGCTTTATCTTCGAACAAACATTTCATATTCATAGTATTTGTATAATGGTGTACTAACTGTTTTTATATACCACTTCACAGCATGAAACAATCCTAGCGTTTATTAAATTCATTCCATGGATTTGCGTTATGTGTTGGGTGAAATGGCATTTTTTTTTCATACTTCAACTTTTGAAATGATCGACATTGTGTTCTTTCTAGCGTAATAGAATGGGTACGAAATGACTGTTGGAGAGGTGAAAGTCACTGTATCTAGCCCCCCCCCCCCCCCCCCCCCGATCAATCATTGTCTACATGTACATGTCTGTTTGCTAGATTATATTATCTTCACCCGTAGACGCCATTTTGAAGCTCATGTATCGATGGTAGGGAAGCAAAGTATCTCATTTCAAAATGTCATATTATTTCTTAACTGAGAGATACGTGACAGCACACAGCGGAGCGCGCCGTACATCAAAAGGTAAGTCTACAGTTATGCAAATCGACGAGAAGTTCTGGTTAGAGAAAAGTATCTTACGGGAAACGTAGTCTTGGGGAAACTCAGCCTGTAAATGTCAATTTTGGGGATACGATTGTTTCTAACTTCTAACATCGATACTGTTTCTTCATTCAGCTTCTCACGCTTTCCACTAATCTTGCTTCACAATTAATTGAGAAAGTCTATTTTTTGAAAATGTATATAAACCTAATAACCCATTTAAAAACTATTACACAACAAAAATGTTCGTCTAGTATCCCGAACCCTCTTTTCACGGTTTCTTCATTCCCCTTCGTTGTCTACTTCAATGCCACTTTCTGTGACCTGAACTAACCCTTCAGTCTCGTGGGTGTGCTTTTCTTGTTTCACATTCGTTATTTAAACAAAATTTTAAAAAACAGCTTAACACTGCACAATATTACAATCTGATCTGCTTAAGGCCGGATTTACATGCTTCATAAAAATTTTCGTCTAAAGACATTCACATCTTGAGATTGCTATAAATAGACAAGCAATGCGAGGTGTTGGCTGTACTTTTTTATTGTACATACTACTGTGTTGTGCATATTATGTTGCTACCTGTGGTTTTTTAAATTTAATTTCTTTTTAGTTTCTTTGTTAGTGCGTCCATATTCTGCCCTGTATACATGGCATATCGGATATTACATTATTTGACCATGCGCTTGTCATAGTATCGTTATCAACTGCATCTTCATAGAGTCTGTGTTAAACAGTCCTAGAATAGCTGTTCATTTCTTCCATCGTCCCCATCTCAAAGCTACGGACATGCTTTGAGTAGTGGTCGTCTTTTTGGTACAGTTGTTAGGGTCTACAACTGGTGCAAGAAAAAAGGCACGGGGGCTACGTTCACGATCTGTGTGAAATAATAATGTTTTCTGGAGCATCTACGTCTTTTGCCTAGGATGTCGCCCACACTGCCGAAATTGGCACTAGCAGGCATTGACGGGGCAGCCTTGAATTATCTAAATTGTATGGATGGGGGGAATAAAACAATGATTTGCAATTATTTGAACGGACCAGCTAGGAATGTTACTGTGCTAATAGCACACTATCTCTCTACCTCTATCTATCTATCTATCTATCTATCTATCTATCTATCTATCTATCTATCTACCTACCTATCTATCTATCTATCTATCTATCTATTTATTTATCTATCTGTCTGTCTGTCTGTCTGTCTTTCCTTTTATAACTGTTTATTCGCTTTGTGTGCTTTGTTTTATACTTTATAGATTTTCGAATGAATGTTTCTCACTAGTATTTACCAGACTTTTCAACGCATGGCTGTAATAATATTTTTTTTCTCGGAAAGAAGGAAGAGAAGGATAACAACAATTGTGAGGGATAATCAATGTTGCGATGTTGAGAATAGTGACACTGGGGAATTGTGGGTATTTCTAAACATTTACCGAAAATTATTACTTTCAATATTTGCTGCTTTGGATATAATAATATATAATATCAGCTGAGCCATCGTATTTATACTTTTTTAGGGTTTTCATTTTCTTTTCACTACAATTTTATATGTTAATGTATAATGATTATTTGTATCATCAAAGAATCAATTTTTCAAGGTGTTCTTGTTATTCACGTAGAACAATTGTGTATGTATATATATATATATATATATAAATATACCTTAGCCCATTCATATAGACTACCTCTACCTTTCCTCACTTGGTCCCTTCCTGGCCTGCATTTCGTTGTGAGCCATATGTGTAACCTGTCTAGTTCCTTTGTTTCACTCATTTAATGAGCTCTTATACTATAAATCACTTTTGTACGAAATAACATTTAGCTATCTTTGTACCGTTTCTGTAGAAAGTCGTGCGTTTTTAAATAAACATATTTAAATTACAAATCAGTTTTATGTTGTTCTTCTTTACACTTTCACTTTGTTGTCCCTCAGGAAGCTAGTTTAGAAATTGTTTTAGAAAGACTTTACACGGACAAGATTACCAACACAGAGGTATCATACTGAAAAGATCAAGAGTTCTTTCTTATGGTGTTTTCATTTGTTACACAATGCAGACTCAGACGCCTAAAAACCTCTACTTGGTGTTTGGTAGAGGGAAGGAG